CCTTCAGTTAACTTCCTAGCTCTATGTCCCTGGAAGCCTAATAAGGTGGTGTCTTAAGTTAGGTTTCCCTGGTAACATATTCTGAAGTTGCATGTAAGAAGTTTGTTGGGGAATTCTCTTGGGATCAGCACCTGTAGGAGAGCAAAACAATAGATTTTGGTCGAAGGAGTTGAACTTCAATATAGTCACAACAGAGGCCTCATCTAACTCCTTGGTGATCTCTGGATCTGGGATGGCTTTTCAGAGATGTCCTGCCTTGAGGCAAGAGATAGGTCCTTTATAGATCCATATCATCTCAACCAGACATTGGATGTAAATTGCCTCAGAGGTGGGATTGTAACTTTAGTCAAGATAGCTTTATTTGGCTGAGGGCAATTCCTAGAGAGTACCTCAGTTAAAGCTATCAGCTGCCAAGTGTGCCACTTGCACAGCACAGCTCAGAGTTTTGCTGATTTTTCCTCTGAAATTACTTATTCCATCCCTTCCTTTCCATTCACTCTGCCATCACCCGAAGTAGTGGGAGAGTCTATTACTGCTGAACTGCTCCCTTGGAAGTGTTCTCACGTTTAGGTTTTGCCTAGTCTGAGCTGCATTACCCATGAGATCCCAGACTGGATTTCATGACAGCAGTTTTGTCTAGGATTTTCAGCTATTCATGTGTAATCCAGATTTTCCCTGGAGCATGAATAAGAAGATCCCTGGAAAGAGTAAGAAGGAAGGCTGGAAAGATGGGTTTAGAGATGTTGCCTAAAGAGTTCCAGTTATTTATTTTGTAGGCAGTGGCAGCCATTTCAGTAAATGACCTTTCAGGCAGGAGAGTGAGTTGATCAGAGCCAGGCTTCAGCAAGATTAAGGTGGCAACAAAGTAAAGGGAGAGACTAAAAGAAATGAGACTAGTTAAGAATCCATTGTAGGAGGACTCAAAATGAGATGGGAATGAGAGGGATGGGACAGATAGGCTCTCAACGGTATAAAGGAAGAATTGGTGACTGTGAGAAGAAAGCAGGCAGGACTTCGCTGAGGTCAGGTAGTGTGAATTTATAACAGACCCATTGGACTTGGTGTCAGGACAGTCCATCAGGAATAGAGAAAGTAATACTCCTCACAAACTAATGCCTCTCCTGTCTTTATGTGTTAACACCCTTATGAAATTGCAAACACATTGAAGGCCAGGATCATGGCTTAGCTCTTATCATCCTTACATTTCCACTTCCAGCGCAGAGCCTAGGGGGACAGAGTAATCTAATCTCCTATGTGTTTTTATTCTGTCCATATATAGAAGAATATTTAGGACCATCACAGATATTTCACGTTGTTAGTTCTGCCAACTGTCAGCAGATAGAAGCTCTGTTATCTCTATTCCTGTTTTGTTTTTACATTTCATTGTGAGGTATAACTAGGGAGACCAGGTATCTGGGTTTTCCCTAGACAGTCCCAGTTTAGACCTGTTCTCCGAGCACAATTACTAACATTACCTTTCTTCACTCTCAAAGGTTTGTAGAATAAATTCTGTGGTCCCTTTATATATATGTACAGGAAAGTGCTAAGTACGTATTAGTCAGTTTAACTATAAAGAACACACTTGTGGGGCTTCCCTGGTGGCGCAGTGGTTGAGAATCCGCCTGCCGATGCAGAATACACGGGTTCGTGCCCCGGTCCGGGAAGATCCCACATGCCGCGGAGCGGCTGGGCCCGTGAGCCATGGCCGCTGAGCCTGCGCGTCCGGAGCCTGTGCTCCGCAACAGGAGAGGCCACAGCAGTGAGAGACCCGTGTACCGCAAAACAAACAAACAAAAAAAAGAACACACTTGTGTAACTACTACCCCAGTCAAGAAATGAAACATTGCCAGCCACTAGAAGTCTATTTCCCAATCGCAACTCTCTCTCTCTTCCTTAGAGTTAACCACTATCCTGCTTTCAATGATAACTATTTTCCTACTTTTTATACTAATGAAAGCTAAATTACTAAAGCCAAAAATCCCTACAAAGATTTCCTTCCAATTATGATTCTTCTATTTATTTTACATACTTTAGGTGTGGGTAATTTCGTATTTATGTTACTAATAGTTATCTTTGAAAGTATATTTGTATTTTAGTATATGACTACAAGGTTGTAAGTAATCATTTCTGAAGATACATGTTGTGTTTTTGTTATTTATTTATTACCCTGTGATTTAATGAAAAAGACACAGCTCTTGGCCTCAGGAATTTGATTAACAAGCAATTACAATACAAACTATTCAGTGCAATAATGGGAACATGTACAAGATGTGGCTGTAGGACATTACCTAGCCTTGGGGATGAGAGGGAAAACTTCCACTAGAAGGTGATGTTTTATTTGAGTTCTGAAGACAAGTAGGAATTATGCAGGTAAAGCTGGTGGGCGAATTAAAGGCAGAACACTTGGGTCACTTTCCAAACAACAATAACAAAAACAGCCCAGAAACAAGAAAAGTATGGCACAGTTAGGTTACTATAAGTTGTTCCCTGCAGTTGGAACACAGAGAGTGTTCTCTGTGGTCTCTCATGGCTGGAGAAGTATATCTTTTGGGTCATCGTATTTTGCACATACATTTCGAGGCAGAAGCCAGATTATGTAAGGCCTTAGTGTCATTCTGAGTTTGAACTTGGTACTGAGGGCAATAAAAGCACTTCAAAGAGTTCTAAGCAGTGAGTGAGCAACATGGCAACATGACCATATTTGCATTTTTGAAAGGTTATTCTTACTACGGAATTAGAGAGAGTATTTAAATGGGCAATCCTAGAGGCAGGGAAACTTGGGACTGTAGACTGTTGCAGTCATCCACTTGTGAAAGGATGGGCTTGAGCTAAGCCAGAGGAAATGAGAAGGGAGAGAAGTGGATGGCTTTAAGAGACAGTTGGGGACAGAATCAACAGGTTTTTAATGATTGATTTTATGTGGAGTTTGAGGGAGAGGGAAATGATGATGCTCAGATTTCAGCAGGTGGTGGGGAGCAAAGACAGTG